CCTTCCCATCTAACATGGATATCGAAAGCCAACCATCACCATCCCTTCTTTCAACATCTCCAGCTCTTCTTTTATCACACATAAAGAGAACACCAATGAAAACACAGAGTAAAACAAGTGCTCCCATAACAGGAAGTACAATGATGAGGATGAGTTTACGTCCCTTCGCCATTGAGTGCTTCTTCACCACAGAAGACGGCATTCCGCAGGGATGGATTCCTACTACATTGCCGCAAAGACCTTTATTACCCTCCAATGAGGCATTGATAAAAGCTTTATTATTAGGGATTGGACCTTCCAACAGATTGTATGACAATACGACATCCTGCAAACCAGTTGAACTTTCAAATTCTTGAGGAATGCGCCCAGATAGGCCATTGTGTGAAAGATTTAAGTTTACCAACACCTTTAAATTGGCTAACTGAGGGGGGATCTCTCCAACAAGATGATTACGGCTCAAATCCAGTACATTAAGATGAGTTATCTTCCCAATCTCTATTGGAATTTTTTGGCCAAATTTGTTGTTGCTTAGGTTCAAGTGAAACAGGTGCTGGTAATCTCCTATAAACGGTGGGATCGAACCATTCAATCTATTGTCTGATAGATCAAGGTAATCTAACTTTGTCAATAATCCAAGTTCCATAGGAATATTGCCAGAAATTTGGTTGTTTCGCAAAAGACGATTAACCAGAGAGGTTAATTTTCCTAATTCCCTAGGTATCTGTCCAACCAAATGATTGGATGAAAGAATAAGTCCTTGAAGCCCTTTGAGGTTTCCAATCTCCGGTGGTATGCTACCACTAATGTTATTTCTGGCTACCCGCAAATCAGTCAAACTCTTGCATTTCCCCCAGTTGCTGCTGAGTTCACCATAAAAATCATTTTCGCTCAAATTAATGAAGTAAAGGTGTGGATGGATGCCAAAAGCATCAGATAAATTCCCAGTAAAACTGTTGTTATCCAACCGAACTCTTTTGAAACTCGAGCACTTGCTAAAGCTTCTTGGTATTGGCCCTGTAAGCTTGTTACTATTCACCGTGAAGTTCTCAAGTTTCCCACCTTGGCAAAGATGCTCAGGCAAATGGCCTGAAAGCTGATTTTCACTTATTATCAGCTCTACCAAGTTATCCAAAAATGCAAGTTCTTTCGGAATAGGACCAGAAAGTTTGTTGGTGTGGAGATACAAAAATTGCAAGTTTCTCAAATTGCCAAATGAACCAGGAATAGGACCGGTAAGTTGATTATTGGATAATTGCAGATCATTCAATTTTTTCAGATTCCCCAACTCACTAGGAATGGGACCAGAAAGTTGGTTGGAATAAAGATGCAAGAGTTTGAGCTCAGCTAAGTGACCTAGAGTAATTGGTATTGAGCCATTAAGCTTATTATCGGATATATCCAGATCGTTAAGGTTTTTCAAATTCCCCAATTCTCGAGGAATGGGACCAGAAAGTTGGTTAGAATGAAGGTATAGAGTTTCAAGCTCAGTTAAGTCACCTAAAGTAATTGGAATTGAACCACTAAGCTTATTATCGGATAAATCTAGCTCATTGAGGTTTTTCAGATTCCCCAACTCACTAGGAATGAGACCAGAAAGTTGGTTAGAATAAAGGTACAAAATTTTGAGCTCAGTTAAGTCATCTAAAGATTTTGGAATTGGACCAGAAAGATTGTTTTTCTGTAAGCTTAAACTTTCAAGTGACTTCATCTTCCCTATTTCAATAGGAATGGAACCAGACAATTCATTGGAGTAAGCATAGAACAATTTTGCATTGATCAAGTTGCCTATTTCCGGAGGAATATGACCTGTTAACTGGTTTGTATCAAGATCAATTTCGACAAGGTTGGTAAGTTTCCCTATTTCTGCAGGAATGGGACCAGAAAGGTTGTTCATGCTAAAATCAATATATTCAAGAAAAGGTAGAGATGAAAATGGAAAATCATGGAGTGTACCAATGACGCCAGAATTTGTAATATTCAACCTGTTTATTCGACCATTAAAGCATTTAACTCCATACCAGTCCCTGCATGGATCATGGCTCGAAAAATTCTTGGCAGCAGCAGGATGACGTAGTGTCCAAGAAGCCAATAAGGAATTATTCTGGTTTTTGAAAGTTGATTTCCATTTAAGAAGAGTTGTTGCTTCCTCTGTGGAAGCAAAAGTAATTGTGAAGAGATATACCAGAGGAAGGAAATAAAGTATTTTGGGATCCATCTCCAAGGCTAAAGGATTCTTTTGGTTTGTGAAGAACTTGTGTAGGATGAAGTTCTATATATGTTTTTTTTTTAAATCATTACCACTCTTACTGAGTTAATGGGCGTTTGGATTCAATGACGGAGCCAGGATTTGTATTAAGGAGGTTCAAATTTCAAAATATGAAAAAGTAAATAGACAAAGAAGCAAAAAGGGATTCAACATCTTCTATATAGACATAAAAAATAATTTTAATCAAGTATAATAGTGTAGTTTTCCGTCCAAACAGCGCCAAATTTAGTTCCCTGATTGTTAAAATGCAAGTGGAATTAAAAAAACTTGGTTGGATTGACCACCAAAATGTGGAAATAAAGTAAGAACATTTCCAACAGAATTGTGGATTAAAGTAAACCCTGATTAATTACTTTCAAACTATGTGTTCCATTAACAGGACAGCACAAGAAAATAATTGGAAAGTGAAAATGAAAGGAAACGAAAATTATGTACTTAAATCATGTTGATTATGGTTTTTTACTTTCCAAAGAAAACTTAATCAAAGTTGGATTACTGTTTTGCACCTACATTAAATTAAAACCTAATCGGCTATCAAAATAAATAGTAAAAATTAATTAAAGTCCTGTTTTATTCACATTAATGCAGAATTAATTAGAAACCTATCTATGACATTTTAATTGTTTATTTATGACGTTTATGAATTCTCTTAGTCCAATTTTGAAAATTGAAGCTTCCCCTTTTTAATATTATATATTATATGTATGATTATTACAAATATTTTTCACACCCTCTTAGACTCTTTAGTTATAGCATTATAAATTTCTTTAGTTATTAATTATTTTCTATCTTTCATCTTCTCTTATAATAATCATATCATATTACACTAAATATCATATTATTATGTTATAAAATATCTAATTAATTAAATAGTAAATAGTAATCATATTATATTACACCAAATATCATATTATAATGTTATAAAACGTGTTAAGTATTAAATAGTAAACATATCATATTATACTCCTACTAATATCACATTAACTAAAACTATTCTAGCTACCAAACTAAAAGTTGAATAACCAAAATGTTCATACAAAATCAAATGACCTTTTTATCCTTTAATATGCCATTATCCCTATAATATTCTGTGCTAAAAAGGTAATTTTACGATTAAATAAATACTAATTCATTAAATACTTTCTATAAAATAACCCAAAAAAATAAAAGTTCAATAAAGTGTGAAACATGTCCATTCAAATTGCCCCAAATGTATTCAAGTAACTAGCTTCCCTATAATATGTTGTGCTAAAAAGTAAATTTACGATTTAATAAATACTAATTCATTAAATACTTTCTATAAAATAACCCAAAAAAATAAAAGTTCAATAAAGGCAATAAAGTGTGAAACATGTCCATTCAAATTGCCCCAAATGTATTCAAGTAACTAGCTTCCCTATAATATTTTGTGCTAAAAAGTAAATTTACACTAATAAAGGCAATGAAGTGTGAAACATATCCGTTCAAATTCAATTACCCCAGATGTATTCAAGTAACCAGCTCCCGTATAATATTGTGCTAAAAAATAATTTTATATTTAAATAAATACTAATTTATTAAATACTTTTCTATAAAATAACCAAAAAGTAAAAGTTTAACAAAGGCAATAAAGTGTGAAACATATCCATTCAAATTGCCCCAAATGTATTCAAGTGACTAACTTTTATTAAGTCAATCTCTTAATAAGGCCTTTAATTTTCTATTACTAATTAATAAGACTAAAGTCTTCCTATTTATCCTTAAATATTCCTCATCAGTTACTTTTATATTATCCACGTTTATGCTATGACCTCTTTCTTGGAATCTTGCTATAACATAAATGTAGAATTTGAAAAGTTATAATGAATGATTAATATTGTGTGATTTTATTTTCTATTTGAAAAATGTCAAATAAAGAAAGAACTATATAAAGGTCATAAAGGGTTAAAGTTACCTAAATCTCTTTTTTATTCGCCCATGTGTGCTCTCACATCTTATATCACTACAACAAAACCAACTTTTAGCGGCAATAAATAGACACATTAATAAAGACTGCTAAAGTTTTTACCAACATTACTTAAGTGTCATTAGATTCAATGTCGCTAAAGGCTTTAGGGACATATACAAAGAGTGCTAATTGCCGACTAAAAATACATATTTAGCGGCAATTGAGCTATTGTCGTTAATTAATTGCCGCTAAAGATCATTTTTTATGTAGTGTATGCACAATACTTTTCTTTCTATAACAATACTTATTCATTATTGACTTCACAACACTTTTTTAAGAAATTATAAATAGAAGAATAATTTTATTATATCACCCATTGAATAAAACATCAATGTTTTGAAAAATATAATAGAGAAATAATTATAATTAATGATAAGGATAAATTAGGAACTAAGTGTAAAATTATCAATTGATTTCATAAAGTAGACAAGTATTGTTAGATATTCTAAAACAATATAATGGACAACTATTATTAGACGTAGGAAATAGTAGATTACAATAGCAGATTTCTGTTTTTGCAGAATAGATAACAAAAATGGCCAACGGGAGAAGAAGAGTATCTATAGTTGTTAGAGGTTGGAATTGGAGTAGTAGTGAAGAAATGACTATCCCACTTTTTCTTCTTAGGAGAGTATAAAAAGTTCAACACAACATTAATTTTAAGACAATATTCATATCAAGTGTCCATGAAATTTTTATATGTTACTGTTTTAGATTTCACGTTCCTTAAGAAGCTATGTAAGTTTACTATAGTATTCTTATTTAGTATTCTCTTGAAGTTAAGTTTTTTTAATAAATGAACATAAATTAATTTATTTTGATTAATTAAATTGACCGATGAATATGAATTAATTATTTAGTTTTCCTATGTTGGTCAAATTCATATTTTGAAGCTAATAACTCTTAAAGGTATAATAGGAAGAATAGTGTCATTTATGCATTGATTTTATAAAATGACAAATATTAAAGACCATCTATTTTTTAGTAAGAACGACATATAAATAGTAACCAAGGAAGTTTCTACTTTTGATAAGTTATTTTTGCTTAGGCGCTGTCGTTTTCAATTTATTCATGTTTGCACGTTATTTTCTACCTATCGCATTTGTGAGTACACATATTTATTTAGATGCATTATCAATTTATTGAGATATATTTTTTTGTCTTAATGTAGAGTAATTATGGTCCATAGATAGAAAATTTATGTTGATTAAGATGGGATATACGTGTGATATATGAATCAAAAAACTATTATAAGTGAAAAGCTTCTAATATAAAGTTGAATTACCAAAATATCCATAATAATTAGTTGATGTTCCATTTTACCCTTCAACCAAATATGATTCCTACAATAATTGAAGTTTTGATAAATTGTGATTAAGGTTTCCAGCAATGGACAAAAAGTAATCCCATTAGTCATTTCATTGAAGCATAACTCCATATATTCAGTTGGGGGAAGTCTTGAGCAGAAACGATCATTTTCTGGCTTCTATGAACACAGATAAAATCTTTGAAATCGTAAGAAGAACTATGTGTAACATAGTAATCGTAGTATTTCTCATATTATTGTTTTGTTGTAGTTCTGTTCTAGTGCTACCTGATGTTGTTGTTACTGTTTTTTTGTTACTCTATTATCTGTTGTTTCTTGTACTTCCATTTCTTCTTGTTCATGACTATTTTGGAATGTTTTTCATTGAGCCGAGGTTATTAACAACAGTGACTTCACTATTTTGTAACTAGAATTGAAGCAATTATTCCTTCCCATAATACCAAAATTCCCCTGTTCCTGGCTCCAGAGGATTACAACTTAGCAAAACTTTGATTCTAAACTTCTTTCAATTTGCTTTGATCAATCATGGCCAAAAGAAAATTGTTAAGAGTCGAAAACGAAAAGACTAGTAAATCATTAAAACTAGTGCTCCTGCATATGTTGTAGACCGATCGAAAGCAAAAAAATAAAAAAATGCAGCAACTTGATTCTTGATATTTACTCAAGGCCAAAGAAGCAGAAGGTTAAATAATTACCTCTTACAATATACATATTAATAGAGTAAACCAAATGAGCACCCTAACAATACAACAATACTAGTCAAAACAATTGAAATACTTGCTTCACAACCACTCAGCGACAAAGGTTATTCATTTGCATACATAGCAAGGATTATATTGCTCGCCTTACATGGGGGTTTCTCTGATGAATAGGTGGATGTGCATCATTGATGATAACTTATGAGAGATGAAGTGCATTGTTGGCCTTGATTTTGGAGTTTCAAGGAAACAAGAGCATGCTAGCTTGATGATAAAAACCAAAACATTTTTTACTCAATCTTCAGGATACGGAAGGCGCTCATCCAGCAAATCGCTAAGTTGCTCAGGATCTATAGTCGATGAATTTGCTAGCACAGAAATGTATTCCCCAAGATGCTTTCCTTTGACTATCTCCAATGATAATACTCCAAAGCTATACACATCATGTTGAATATTGTTGTTTGAAACGACGGGCACAATCAATTTCTCACAACTTGAATTTTATTATTGCAAAGTAAGAACCTGCTTCGGTCTTACAATTTTTACAGGCAACTCTCTCTTATTTCTTACCGACTTGTTGTTTTCTCTCTTGCTTACTTGCTTACTTGGTTTCTTTCTTAGTTGCTTCTTGCTTGGTTGCTTACAACTCAAACGGACCACCTCTATTTATAAGAGGTGATCGAAGAATCTAGAGAGATACATACTACTCTATTCTAGAATATTCCTAGCTATCTTTTTCTAGAATTACCTTTTCTAGAATATTTCTAGACTATCCTCTCTAGAATACTCATTCTAGAGATCATCCTTCAATTCTCAACAACTCCGGAATATTCTAGATTTTTCTTGATTTAACTTAAGTAAATAATTAAGTTGGTGATGAATTCTAACACTCCCCCTTAACACTAACTTAATTTTTTCTTTGCGTATGTTGTGAGCGATTCCTGAAACTTTGCAAGTATCATGACGTCCATGCCCTTTGAGGATCTCCACCTTCGTCGGA